TGGGGTGAGATGATATCTCAATGTTGTTTTAATTTGCATTTCGTGGATGGCTAGTGATGTGGAGCATTTTTTCATATATTTATTCGCTTCTTTAATTTCATCCTCTGAGAAGCGTGTGTTCATCTCAGATGCCCCTTTCTGGATTGGGTCTTTAAATTTGGGGCCCTGGTGTTTTTTAGTTCTTTATAGATTCTAGAGAGCAGACCTTTGTCTGAGTACTTATTTGTCATAATTTTTTTTTCCAAATTTGTGGGTTATTTATTTTTGAGGCAGGATCCTGGTGTGCTCTTGCCTCAGTCTCCCTGTAGCTGCAATTACAGGTGCATGTATTCCAGTATGCTGGAAAATTTTAAACTCCCTGTTTTCCTGGTGCCTGTGTGTCACTCAGCTGAGGTGACTGGGTGTGCCAGTGTGACAAGCTGGGCCTCTGCCATAAATTCTTCTCTTTGCCATGCCCTGCCTAAGCCCCAGTGAGGACCCCTGTAGCTCGTGGCTGCCTCTCTGCTTGGCACAGCCTGCTTCAGCCTGGGTCTCCTGCACGATGTGCTGGGCCCTCCTCCCTATGACCCATGAGTGCCGTAAAATGCCTCTGCGCAGTTGCTGACCCCATCACAGCAATCCTGAAGGACTTGTAAAGGAGCCTTCCTCTCCCATTTAGGACATAGTGATAGATGCCTTAGTTCGCATGACCCTGGCTGGTGTTTTTTTCTTTTCTCTTTTTGGGGGATGTGGCCTTGCTCTGTAGCCCAGGGAGGCCTCAGACTTGTGATGTTCCTGCCTCAGCTGCAGACCATGGTTGTAATTGAATTTAAGCTGTTCACTTAAAACTTGGTTTGATTTTCACCAGTAACAACCTGTGGTGATGAAAAATGTTTCCTTTAGGGCTATCATGGAAGCTCTTTGGTTCTTAGATTTTTTTATTTTTTAGGGAAGGGCCTACAGGGTGTTCAGGTCTCACTACTAGATGGGACTCAAAGTGATCTGCCTGTTTACAGCTTCCCAAGAGCTGGGATTACAGGCGTGTGCCACCATGCACATCTCAATTGCCATCTCAGCATGCCCTGGGGGCAAGGCCGGCACAGCAGGCCTGGGGGTCGAACCCCTGGGCCCTGCACCTGATTGCATGTGCTTTAATCTGCTGAGCTATTTGGCTGGCCCAGATTCTTTAATTGTGGTAGTTGTGGTGCTAGGTGTCAAACCCAAGGCATCATGTATGTGCTCTGTCACTAATCTATGTCCCCACTTCTAGGTTCCTTTGTTTCTATTTTGCTTTGTGTGGCACTGGGGGTCAAAGCCAGGGCACTTTACCCCTGACTACATCCTAACCTCCTTTCAGCCCTCCTTTGAAACAGGGTCTTACTATGCAGTTCAGGCTGGGCTCGAACTCACTAGTAGCCCAGGCTGGCCTCAAACTCATAGCAATCCTCCTGCCTCAGCCTCCTGAGAGCTAGGATTATAGGCATGTGTCACCATGCCTTGCCCCAAGCTCTTGAGAAACATGTTTTGAGACAGGGACTCATTGTGTTATCCAGACTGGGGTTATAGGTATATGCCGCCATTCCTGTTTCTTGTTTCTTTGATAGTGTGTGCGTGTATGCTTGTGTATTTGTGTGTTGTTGGGGACTGACCCCAGGCCCTTGAGCATGTGAGACAAGTTCTTTACCCCTGCGCTACAGCGCAGCCCTAGGTTCTTAGATCTGGAACTGAGCTGCAAGTTAGCAGATGTGAAGTTTTCAATTTCCACATAGGTACATTCAAATAATCTATCAGTTTCTGGGTGTGGTGGTGCAAGCATGGCATCCTACCACTTAGGAGGCTGAGACAGGAGGATCACAAGTTTGAGAACAATCTGGGCAACTTCATAAGATTGTACCTTAAAACATTTTTGTAGGGCTGGGGAGATAGCTCGGTGGTCTAAGCACCTGCCTGGGAAGCACAAGAACCCAGGTTCGATCCTTGGTACTACATGCCATACTGGCCCCCAGAACCCGGGGCATGCTAAGCCAGCCATTGAAACTGGGTATGGTGATACACACCTATAATCCCAGTGCTGGGGAGGCTGAAAACAGGAGGATCACTATGAGTCTGAGATGCATAGTGAGACCTTATACCCAATAAATAAATAAATAAATATATATATATTTTTTTTTTGTAAAAAGGGCTTGAGGGTGTCACATAGAAATAGAATGTATACATAGCATGTGTGAAACTTTGGGTTTCATCCCCACTGTACACACACAGAGGTTCAGATATCCATGTTATTCTAAATGTATTTAAAAGTTTTCAGATAATGGAGTCATATTCGTTTTTGTATTTCAACTTGAGTTTATTAAGATTAAGCAAAACCTTCTTCACTTCTACTATGTCTGTGTGATCAGTCACACACGGCACTAGCGATGAGCGAACCGCACTGTGCAGTGACAGGATGTCCGTTCTTTGGAGGGAATAATGCGATCATAGGTGGTCAGGCTTCTAGGGCAAAATTAACTTCATCCTAGTCCTGGTTCATCACTTCCACCTTGGACAGCCCTTGACTGTTGAGTATTTGTGTCTGGATGTAGGTTTCCTTCAGTATTAAGTATGGGTCACAGTATTGCATAGGATGGTGGCGATGAGCTGATGAAAAGGCCTTTCAGCAACCTCAGGCCCTCAGGAAATGCTGCTCGGTGCTCAGAACACACTGATGGCAAGTGGACCACTTTTAGAGTGTATTGGGTGCAGGGAGACAGCACTAATGCATGACGTTTGATTTGATGACTGGTCTTTAGTCCTTGCTTGATGATTGATCCCCGCAGGACCCATGCAACCCTGAATGAGGAGGAATGGAGGTCGCCTCTCTCTGCTTGGATCCATAAGCTGCCTGGAAGTGGTTTTGGCATCAAGAAAGGGAGTTCAGGCACATTCCAGCATCAGAGCCACAGAATGGCAGCCACTGATTTGCCGGAAGGTGAGGCTTCTGCGGTCAGGCTTTTTCTCTTTTTTCAGAGACTCTGGTTTAGATCTCCCCTAAGCAGTAGAGACCAAGGGTGGTCATTTCAAATACAGAATGTTATAGCTCAGCTCCCTAGTTTATTTTCAGAGGAGGGGTTGCATAATCTTCCAGAGTTCTTAGCACCATGGGAAGATAGAGCCCTATTTTCAGGCTTTAACTTTCCTCACCTGAACAATGCAACTACTCCCTTTCCTCAATGGGCAGCTTGGCTTACCAGCTGCCCCGCTGGCTCTAGATCAAACATGACTACTATGTGCTGGGCTTGCTGGCAGACACATAATCAGAGCTGCTCAGGAGACTGAGGCAAGATCAAGAGTTTGAGGGCAGCCTGGGAAACTTAGCAAGACCTGACTCAAACTAAAATTCATTTTAAAAAAATGAAGCCATAGGGGCTGGGCATATAGCTCAGTGTCACAATGCCTACCTGGCAAGCTCAAGTCCTGAGTTCAATTCCTGGTACTAAAAAAGTTGCATAGGGGTTGGATTGATTGATTGTCATTCTGGGTGGGGGGATCTTCCAGTGGTCTGCATGCAAAGCAGGCTATATTCCTAGCTCAACATAAAGCTTAAAAAATAAAGGGCTATAGATATGGCTTAGTGGTAGAGCAAGTGCCAAGCAGGTGTGAGACCCTCGGTTCAATTCCTAATATCAGCAAAACAAACAAAATATGACTACCATCACATTTTATTATAGCAGTATGTATTTGAGTTTTCTTTTTCTTTCTTTTCCTAAAAAAATCTTTATTTATTTGGTACAAGATCTTGCTGTGCAGCTCAGACTCATAGTGATTATCCTGTCTCAGCCTTCACAGTGCTGGGATTACAGGTGTGTGCCACAACACCCAGTTTGGCATGCAGTACTGGGGATCAAACCCAGGTCCTAGTGCTTGCCAGGCAGGCCCTTAGACCGCTGGGCTATCTCCCCAGCCTGTTTGAGTTTTCTTGAATGTATAATATTATGGGGTAATTTCTAAGTTATGTAGAAAGACTTCTTGACCTATGAATGCAGAAATGAGGGGTAACTCTGAGTTCTGATACCTTCCTCCTTTTCCACCAGGTCCTCTCCACCCAGAACCAATCTGCTTTTATGAAGATGAGACAAAGGTAGAGAGTGTGGTGGCTGACTCCCAGGCAGATTGTTACAAGGTAAAAAAGAAAGGGCATCCTTCTACAAAATGGAAATCTTCCACCAACTAGATATATTTCCTTCTAGACATACTTGTGTCCAGAACTTCTTAAAGGAAATAGAACCTCATGCCAGGAGTGACTCCTCAGTTGAGTTTCCCCATAGAATGGAGCCTTACATTGGTGAGGCAGTACCTTGAAAATCATTAAATCAAATTTTTTGGGGGGTGGGGGTGGGGGGAGAGGCCTCAGTACTCTGGGAAAGCGCTCCACCACTGAGCCACAGCCCCAGTCCTAAGAACTAATCTTGAGCCGCATGGTGCCAACTACATGTTGAGTGCTGTGGCTCAGTACTCTGACAGATGGCAAAGCAGATGAAGATGTCTTTTTCTTGCAGAATTTATTCTTGGGCTTTTGTCAGTTGCTTGCAGCATGCTCAGGAGTATGCTGCAGTGGAGACAAATAGGACCAGAAGCCCCTAGCTCGGTTGTGCTACAATGAACTCATGTTTATGAACTGATGCTAAAGGACATGGCAATAGGAAGTTCCACAGTGAGGGAGCTTGGAGAGAGAGACAGGAGTCCTAGGATCATACATCCTGGTAATGGACTGTGTATAGACATTAGCTCCCCTCCCCAACTCTCCAGTAATGACTGGCAGAATTGTTAATTGGCTAAACCAGCATGTGTCTAATGGTTTAGGTCTCGGTGACCTTTGATGACGTGGCTCTGGAGTTCACCCAAGAGGAGTGGACCTTACTGGACATAACTCAGAGAAACCTATACAGAGAAGTAATGCTAGAAAACTATGAGAACCTGTCTTCAGTGGGTAAGAGACGAGGGCTTGTTATGGAACAAATATGTGCTTATCGTGGTCTGACACAGCCGACCACATCAGTTCTGAGTGCAGTGGGAAGTAACAGTGCCGTAGTCTGTGCTGTGTTACATTTTAATCTAATGTGGTGATTTTTGAAGTTAACTAATTAAATTATTAGTATTATCATCATTTTGCTGGTGATGGAACCCAAGGACTTCAAACTGAGCTACACGCCAAGCCCTTGTTTTTCATTTTGAGACAGAGACTCGATAAATTGCCCTGCCTGGCTAGCTTCCTAGCTGGTCTTGAATTTGCCATCTTTTGGGCTTAGCCTCCCAGAGAACTGGGATTATAGATGTGCACCACCATGCTCAGCTCTGGCGACAACTCTTAAAATGTCATCAACAGCATGAGCATCTCCACCTCTTCAGACTCAGCTGGAAAGTCTAGGGTTGGACCCTGTCATCTGCTGGGTGGCACTCCAGGTTAGTCTGACACACTCTGAGCTCTGAGAATCAGGGGCAGGCAGGGCTATTGCCTCCGTGACAGCAAGCATTTGCGTTACACTTTATCTACTAAAACCTACTTTTGTCCACTTAAATCTTGGTGTTTTGTAATGTGCATAGCAGTCTGCATTTGATTTTCCAGGGGTTAGAGATAAGCTATTGTTTAGGGGCCCAGGAATGAGGATACATATTTGCTATTCATTTTTGGGTGCTGATGATTGGACCAAAGGCTCACATACAATAAGAGGCATTCTTCTGCTGAGCTGCACCTCTGCCCCCGATATTTACACTTTTACCTACTTTGAAATAATCCAACATTGCCTTCATTAGAGCTCTAATCCCATAGTCTGGGAAGGCTGACCATATGCTGCATGAGCCACCTTTCAGGCATCTTTCCACCTGTGCAGGATACCAGTTCTTCATCCCTAGTCTGATCTCCTGGTTGAAACAAGAAGAACTAAACACAGCAGAAACTGGAGTTCTTCATCGTGAGTATTTGTGAAGACAAACCCTGTTTTGTAAGTTCCATATGGTTTTGCAGGTATAATGGAAGTTTTTAAAGGTGTGCGTTTTTTTTTGTTTTTTTTTTTTTCCCTTCAGAAGGTTGAAGTTGTTTTTCTTAGATTTTAGAGTATTGCTAACTTTCCATAATATATTACTTTCTCTCCCTTCAAACACTCTTAGGATCTCACAAAGTTACCTGTTCTGTTCTGTTCTGTTCTGTTCTGTTCTGTTCTGTTCTGTTCTGTTGTGTTCCCTCCCTCCCTCCCAGCCTTCCTCCCTCCCTTCCTTCTTTCTTTTTATGTATTTAGTACAGTGTCTACAGGGTCTCACTACACAGATCAGATTTGTAGTGATCCTTCTGTTTTCAGCCTCCCAAGCTCTAGGATTACAGGCTTGGGCCACCACACCCAGTCTCAATCAACATCTCAGCACACCCTGGGGGAGGGCCAGCATAGCTTGTGGTGCCAGGGATCAAACCCCAATCTGTAGACTCTGCCTACACAGGCACTTTAATCTGCTGAGCCATCTGGCCGGCCCCTCTTTTCTTCCTTTATTGTTTCAATGTAGGATCTTTTTCCAGATCTTTCTTACTTTCTTTTTCTGATAACTTTCACTTTAATTCTCTTAGACTCAATTTGTAATAAGCTTTGTACAATATTAATTTTACATCATCATCATCATCATCATCATCATCATCATCATCATCATCGTTTGTTTAATTTGGGTTTAGCTCAGCCCTAGTCCAGCATTTAATTTTTTTTCCTGGTTGTACAGCGTTTGTCATCCTATTCATTGTCTTGCGTCCTTATTACTGTTTTTGTTTTCTCTTAGTGCTAGAATCAAACTCAGGATCTCACTTAACACTAAGCAGGGGTTCTCCACTGAGCTCTAACTCTATCCCAATTGCCAACTTTTTAATCACACCAAAATCCTCAATGGTCTCTGTGCTTTTATTTTCTTACCATGTTTAACATGAAAACAAGAACAAATGGAGCTGGGGAGATGGCTCAGTGGAATAAGCGCTTCCCTGGCAAGTGCAAGGGACTGAGTTCAATCCCTGGTTTGGGACTGAGTTCAATCCCCGGTTCCGCAAAAAAAAAAAAAAGACTCTTGTCACACTTTTTATTTTAAAGAGAAAAAAACAATAAAAACAATGATATGAAATTTCAAAACAGGATAGTAGGAGGGTAATAATGGTTAAGGCATTGCTTATTGTTATCTTCAAAGTACTTGCTCAGTTGAATTCTTTTTTTTTGTTTTGTTTTGTTTGGTGGAACTGGGAATTGAACTCAGGTCCTTGTGTTTGCCAGGGAAGCGCATACTCCCCTGAGCCATCGCCCTGGCC